ATACATGTATATATTTAATTACAAAACATTCATCTCTGCAAACTAATGGACTATTTCGGGCGTGTGAGCCCTTAAGAATTGGGATTGTACAGTGGGATCGTATAGTGGTATTGCGCAATATACAATTCAGATCAACGCTTTCTTTGTGAACAGAAAAAAAGTTGTTTATCGTTTGTTGATATTTTGTTCCAACGTTAGGTATATTTGGGACGTGTAGCGGTTCAGATGAAGATGGGATGTTTTTAGATGTTGGTGAGCTTTGTTAGTCACAGCGTCTCATACCGAGAGCAGAGACCATATTGTATATAATCTCTTGAAAATTACATCCGGTTGAGTTAATTATACAGCTCATCTTTCGACTTTTGTATTTGTATGCATTCTGCATTGTATGCATGCATGCATTTCAGAACGTCAGTTTGGATGGGTTCATTGAAGCGTGTACGATTTATATATATCTCCATTGAATACAACGCCGTTGACATGCTAGGTCAGTTTACACATAGATGTAAAAACTTTCAAACATGGGGTTCACATTGCCATTACGACTACTATAACAATGTTAAATATAAGTATTAGGATGGTTTGCACTATAACAGATGTATAATTTATTAATTTTTTTTTGTATTTTCACAACCACAGTGAATACCTGAACGGGAAAGCTATTCGGGGATTCACAATAGCAATAAAAACGACATACTTGCCTCTTGATTGTGTATTAGTTGCATTTGACACAACGATTGCCCCGATTATAATGTATGGTTCGGACATTGGGGGATATGTTTTCAACAAGGTTTGTATTTTCATATCCCCAAATGTCCGAACCATACATTATAATCGGGGCAATCGTTGTGTCAAATGCAACTAATACACAATCAAGAGGCAAGTATGTCGAGTACATTTATAAATTCTAACAATTGCAGCTGATCAACGTTACTTAACAACAAATTTCATGGTCTATGTTGAATTTGGAAAAAAGCCACTGTACATTAAAATGTATAAACGCCTAATTATTTTGGCATAAAATTGCATCAAATTAGAAACTTCCCAAATTAACTTTCATTTTCTATCAGTTTATCACTCTTAATGGACCAATATTGCTGATAAAATCCATGGATTTGTTTTGTGAAAAAACTTACTGATTGGTCCCGTGAAGATCCGGGGTAGAATAGGTCTTCAGCAACTCATGCTTGCCATAAGAGGCGACTAATGGGATCGGGTGGTCAGGCTGCGTGGATCGATGCTCATGATATCAATCACTGGATTGTCTGGTCCAGACTCGATTATTTACAGACCACCGTCATATAGCTGGAATATTGCCGAGTGCGGCGTAAAACAACAAACCAACCAACTACTGATTGTTCTGATCATCCGATTATATGTTTCACACAATAGCTGGCTTCAAAAGTAGACGAAACATTTATAGGTCAATATCTGCAAACCTGGCGCTGCTCTAGTGTGGAAAGTTTAAAGGGTTTGTACTTCCCAAAACTTAAAGAAACATTATATTTTGTATCTCTTGTCACCCGAAACGTATATCACCCTATTCTCAAATTTAGAACTAGTACCCATAACTATGCTCTTGTCACCCGAAATGTATATCACCCTATTCTCAAATTTAGAACTAGTAACCATAACTATGCTCTTGTCACCCGAAATGTATATCACTCTATTCTCAAATTTAGAACTAGTACCCATAACTATGCTCTTGTCACCCGAAATGTATATCACCCTTTTCTCTAATTTAGAACTAGTAACCATAACTATGCTCTTGTCACCCGAAATGTATATCACCCTATTCTCAAATTTAGAACTAGTAACCATAACTATGCTCTTGTCACCCGAAACGTATATCACCCTTTTCTCTAATTTAGAACTAGTAACCATAACTATGCTCCTGTCACCCGAAATGTATATCACCCTTTTCTCTAATTTAGAACTAGTAACCATAACTATGCTCTTGTCACCCGAAATGTATATCACCCTCGTCTCTAATTTGGAACTAGTAACCATAACTATGCTCTTGTCACCCGAAACGTATATCACCCTTTTCTCTAATTTAGAACTAGTAACCATAACTATGCTCTTGTCACCCGAAATGTATATCACCCTTTTCTCTAATTTAGAACTAGTAACCATAACTATGCTCTTGTCACCCGAAATGTATATCACCCTCGTCTCTAATTTGGAACTAGTAACCATAACTATGCTCTTGTCACCCGAAACGTATATCACCCTTTTCTCAAATTTAGAACTAGTAACCATAACTATGCTCTTGTCACCCGAAATGTATATCACCCTCGTCTCTAATTTGGAACTAGTAACCATAACTATGCTCTTGTCACCCGAAACGTATATCACCCTCGTCTCTAATTTGGAACGAGTAACCATAACTATGCTCTTGTCACCCGAAACGTATATCACCCTTTTCTCAAATTTAGAACTAGTAACCATAACTATGCTCTTGTCACCCGAAATGTATATCACCCTCGTCTCTAATTTGGAACTAGTAACCATAACTATGCTCTTGTCACCCGAAACGTATATCACCCTTTTCTCTAATTTAGAACTAGTAACCATAACTATGCTCTTGTCACCCGAAACGTATATCACCCTTTTCTCTAATTTAGAACTAGTAACCATAACTATGCTCTTGTCACCCGAAATGTATATCACCCTTTTCTCTAATTTGGAACTAGTAACCATAACTATGCTCTTGTCACCCGAAACGTATATCACCCTTTTCTCTAATTTAGAACTAGTAACCATAACTATGCTCTTGTCACCCGAAATGTATATCACCCTCGTCTCTAATTTAGAACTAGTAACCATAACTATGCTCTTGTCACCCGAAACGTATATCACCCTTTTCTCTAATTTAGAACTAGTAACCATAACTATGCTCTTGTCACCCGAAATGTATATCACCCTCGTCTCTAATTTGGAACGAGTAACCATAACTATGCTCTTGTCACCCGAAACGTATATCACCATTTTCTCTAATTTAGAACTAGTAACCATAACTATGCTCTTGTCACCCGAAATGTATATCACCCTCGTCTCTAATTTGGAACTAGTAACCATAACTATACTCTTGTCACCCGAAACGTATATCACCCTTTTCTCTAATTTAGAACTAGTAACCATAACTATGCTCTTGTCACCCGAAACGTATATCACCCTTTTCTCTAATTTAGAACTAGTAACCATAACTATGCTCTTGTCACCCGAAATGTATATCACCCTCGTCTCTAATTTGGAACTAGTAACCATAACTATGCTCTTGTCACCCGAAACGTATATCACCCTTTTCTCTAATTTGGAACTAGTAACCATAACTATGCTCTTGTCACCCGAAACGTATATCACCCTTTTCTCTAATTTAGAACTAGTAACCATAACTATGCTCTTGTCACCCGAAATGTATATCACCCTCGTCTCTAATTTGGAACTAGTAACCATAACTATGCTCTTGTCACCCGAAACGTATATCACCCTTTTCTCTAATTTAGAACTAGTAACCATAACTATGCTCTTGTCACCCGAAATGTATATCACCCTCGTCTCTAATTTGGAACTAGTAACCATAACTATGCTCTTGTCACCCGAAACGTATATCACCCTTTTCTCTAATTTAGAACTAGTAACCATAACTATGCTCTTGTCACCCGAAATGTATATCACCCTCGTCTCTAATTTGGAACTAGTAACCATAACTATGCTCTTGTCACCCGAAACGTATATCACCCTTTTCTCAAATTTAGAACTAGTAACCATAACTATGCTCTTGTCACCCGAAACGTATATCACCCTTTTCTCTAATTTAGAACTAGTAACCATAACTATGCTCTTGTCACCCGAAACGTATATCACCCTTTTCTCTAATTTAGAACTAGTAACCATAACTATGCTCTTGTCACCCGAAATGTATATCACCCTATTCTCAAATTTAGAACTAGTAACCATAACTATGCTCTTGTCACCCGAAATGTATATCACCCTCGTCTCTAACTTAGAACTAGTAACCATAACTATGCTCTTGTCACCCGAAATGTATATCACCCTATTCTCAAATTTAGAACTAGTAACCATAACTATGCTCTTGTCACCCGAAATGTTTATCACCCTATTCTCAAATTTAGAACTAGTAACCATAACTATGCTCTTGTCACCCGAAATGTATATCAGTTATGAAGAGCCGTAAAGATCCGGGGTAGAATAAGTCTTCAGCAACCCATACTTGCCGCAAAAGGCGACTATGCTTGTCGTAAGAGGCAACTAACGGGATCGGGTGGTCAGGCTCGCTGACATGGTTGATGCACGTCATCGATCCAAATTGCGTGGCTCAATGCTCATGATATTTATCACTGGATTGTCTGGTTCAGACTCGATTATTTACAGACCGCCGTCATATAGCTGGAATATTGATGAGTGCGGCGTTAAACAACAAACCAAACCAACCAACCAACAATGCAGAATGTGACGTTTTAGCATGGAGAGTGAGTTACTCCCAATTTTCTTCAAGTGCTGCGAGGGCGGTCGGGTAGCCCAGTGGTTAAAGCGTTCGCTCGTCACGCCGAAGACCCGGGTTCGATTCCCGACATGGGTACATTGTGTGAAACCCATTTTTGGTGTCCCCCGCCGTGATATTGCTGGAATATTGCTAAAAGCGGCGTAAAACCATACTCACTCACTCACTCAAGTGCTGCGGGCAGTAGTAACCCTCATATATGACAAAATCTCGCTCTCCTTCTGATGGTGGAGGGTCTGAAGCATACGTTTTTTCTTGAATTTTCTTGGGCAATATATTAGTTTCGTTAAATTAATAACGGTTGTTGTGTTTATTTGTTTACAAATATGAACCATGTCTTCACGTAAAATATTTATATCAACTTTTAATAAAGCATTTATCAAAACGAATCCATCGACATATGCTACCTGATAAACAAGGTGTATACAGGAAAGTATTCTGTCCTTGATATTTCTGATTTTTCTTTATCATTTCAGTAATCTCCCTGTTACAAGAAACGATGTCGAATTATTACTTGTAAGTATTGCATACATATGAACGCTGGGGGAAACGTTACTGTTATTGTTGGATTGTCTTCACATTATTCATCACAACTGATGTTGAAAGTGAAGGAAACAGTCATTACGAATTTAAAATTTCACTTTAAGATTCTGCCCGTGAAGATTCCGGGGTAAAATAGGTCTTAAGCAACCCATGCTTGCCGTTAAAGGCGACTATGCTTGTCGTAAAAGGCGACTAACGGGATCGGGTGGTCAGGCTCACTGACTTGGTTGATGCATGTCAACGATCCCAATTGCGTGGTCGATGCTCATGATATTAATCACTGGATTGTCTGGTCCAGACTCGATTATTTACAGACCACCGTCATATAGCTGGAACATTGCTGAGTGCGGCGTTAAGCAACAACCCAACCAAACCAACCAACTTTAAGATTCTCCTGGACTGGAGGGAACGGTTACGTACCTGCTCTGTCATGGCGTTACCGCTGTAGTGGCTGTAAGGGAGCAGAGAGCGAGGACACCGGGGGTTCGCAAAATGGAAGAGCATTTCTTTCTCGTCGTCGATTATCTAGAGTGTCTCCATTCTATAATGATACAACTAAATTATCCATTCACTTCCCTGACTGACTTCGTTTTAAGTCCGATTCGAATTATGTTTGTTTGTTTAACTCCGCACTCTGCAATATAACAACTATATGACGTCAGTCTGTAAATAATCGAGTCTGAACCAGACAGTCCAGTGATTGACATCATGAGCTTCGATTTGCGCAATTGGGATACGATGACATGCATCAACCAAGTCAGAGAGCCTGACCACCCGATCCCGTTTGTCGCCTCTTACGACCAGCATTGGTTACTGAAGACCAATTCTAACCCGGATCATCACGGGGGTGACATGGCATGTGCTGCAAAAAAAATGGAATAAACACCGCTAATGCCATGGCACTGTTCCAAAGCGTGTCATTAGACAATCGACTTTGGCTTCTGATTTCAGTACAAGTTATTAATATAGATACATGTATCTTTGAATTAATTGGTAGACATTGCCGCACTGAATAGCATTCCAATAACATCACAACGTGTAGCCATCATGCAGGAGAATAATGCAGGATCTACCAAACTATTACACAGTCATGCTGAAACGCCCCCAAACACAACTATGATACCCGTATCAAATACATCGCCATTGAATAACCATTTCTTGTTTGTTTCATTTTTAACCACCATCATGGGTGTAAACTTTCTTTTGTCCGGAAGTGTATATTATTGCAAGCCAAAGATTCCCTTTGTTTGATGATATGAACGATTTTATTCATAATATATTTTCTCCTTATTTTATGCTACATATTTAAATACAATTTCTATTTCATATGTTTATGATGATGAATATATGTCTGATGTATTTCTGGAGAGTAAGCATGATGGTACTTTCCTAATCAATATCAGACAATATCTAGGAGGCTAGACGTACGCTATATGCAAGTTGTTGTATAACGCCGCACTCAGCAATATTCCAGCTATATGACGGCGATCCGTAAATAATCTGGACCAGACAATCCCATGATCGACATCATGAGCATCGATGAGATGCATCAACCAAGTCAGCCAGCCTGACCACTCGATCCCGTTAGTCTCCTCTTACGACAAGCAGTCGCCTTTCACGGCAAGCATGATGAAATCTGGTTCGGCTTTTAGAGATAACATTACATCTTAGACCTGAATGTATCACGAGTTTTCTTCTTTAACGCCTCGCGAAGACTTCAACAGACTTAACAATTTATCGTAATTATTATGTCGAACCGTTTCTTGTGAATGTTTCAGCATAATTGCGGTGATCATAGTGGTCAAAATCCTCTTCTGGACAATGTTCCTGTGTTATCGGGCTTCAAGAAGACCGGCGTTATCCGTCCAGTCGTTTACTCCGGATGGACAAGTTTCTCACAATGTAGGCATTAGCCTAGGCTTGATTAAACCTCGTGACAATATGGCTCACTTTTTCTCACTCACTGGTTAAACTATGTCGCGATATGCAGAGCTGCCTCCCTTAGGGTTCGAATCCCGGTTCACCCTAGTTATATTTCTAGGTTTGTCAGCACTATACAAAGCGGTTAACGTCGAAGACCTGCATCAGTTCGGGTTCATCTCCCACATCAAGCTGGCACACCGTGATATAAGTGAAATGGTGTTCACATAAAAGGGACTAAAAGCAATCTCATAATATGAATACGTCTCTTTACAGTGAAGCGGTCGGGTAGCCTAGTGGTTAAAGCGTTGGCTCGTTACGCCGAAGACCCGGGTTCGATTCCCGACATGGGTACATCCCCCCGCAGTGATATTGCGAGAATATAGCTAAAGGCGGCGTGTCAGGAGTATGGGTTTCTGAATCACTATCAAGTAGTGACGATGGTATCCGCGAGTAGGTGATCGCATCCCCCCACCGGTGGCACCCGTCACAAACACACGCAAACATAAAAACGTTAACGCCAGAAAACAACCAGCCGCGATCGTCAAGTCAAGTGTTCACCTGAAAACACACGTGAACATTTTGTACATGTCAAAATAAGGGAGTGCGTCGTTTTTGGCACTCTTTAATGTGGAAATGTCCATCATATCCCAGACCTTGAATATTGTTACCCTGATCAAACAACTTTGCAGCAACAGTCGTGTGACGCTCTTTGAGATCGTTGTAGTTTTTTGTACCTCAAAAGTTGTGAAATGTAGACTCCAAAGTCATCCCTCTTGTTATACTGTCTTGTTGATATCAGCTGAAGTGAGTGAGTGAGTTGGGTTTAACGCCGCTTTTAACAGTATTCCAGTTATATCGCGGCGTGTCAGCTTCATGTGGGAGGAAAGCCCGAAGTGATGCAGGTGATGCAGATTTACTACTTCGGTGAAACCCACGAGTACGGGTATGGTGCTGACCAACCTAGAAACATAAATCGGGGCGAACCGGGATTCGAATCCACAATCATAGGTTTCTGGTGTGACCAAGGGACGCAACTTTGCACAGCGAATCGCGGCGCCTTTTACGACTGGGCCACGATATAAGCTGGATGCCGATTTATATTTTAAAATATTTTCCTTAGACCTTAAAAGTGAAGGTTGTGCGAGAACTCCGCTCTCGCTGCACTGGACTATGAAATTACAGCTATAAAACTACGCAGAGATGTAGACTATTAAATTTCCTGTCGGATGGTGTAAATTTAACTGCAAATATTAACCCGGTTTAAAAGAAATACACTGCTAAGTGTTGTCAGAGAGATTTATTTGGCGTTGAAAAACAGCAAATTTCCCGATAAAATTTACTTTGCTGTATCATTATCGCTCGTGTCCCTCCGCTCCGATGGGTTGAATATTGCTAAAAGCGGCGTAAAACCCAACTCACTCTGTAACGTTCACTACATTTCTTTCTTTAGGGTCCGTGACGATTCCGGGTTAGAATAGGTCTTCAGCAACCCATGCTTGCCGTAAAAGGCGACTATGCTTGTCGTAAAAGGCGACTAACGGGATCGGGTGGTCAGGCTCGCTGACTTGGTTGATGCATGTCATCGATCCCAATTGCGTGGATCGATGCTCATGATATCAATCACTGTATTGTCTGGTCCAGACTCGATTACTTACAGACCGCCGTCATATAGCTGGAATATTGCTGAGTGCGGCGTTAAGCAGTAAACCAACCAAATCTTTCTTTAGGCGTCTACCATTCCACAAAGGCTTTGCACGGATCATCCTCTATATCCAAATAAGGCGTTAACGTACAAACTGGTGTGTATACTGTGTAAATCTGCGAAGCAACGTGTCCACACCGGCTTTTACGATTTCATTTTTTCCTCCATAAACGAAAAAACCCCAAACACATTGAAGTTATTTCTTATAAATAAATGCGTGACAATAACTTCACAGACTGCTGATATAATCATTAAAAACAAAAACATGTCGACAACAGTACAAAATCGGTAACATGGTTCAACGCAATAATGCACCACAAGCCCGCCCATTTATAAGTCAGCCAATCAGAAAGCAGTAGCCCGTTATTGGGCGTGGCCTCATTTTTTCTGCTTAGGGAAACATAAAAGCAAACAACTTTGCTTGGTTAGCCAATTACATGCAACGGAATCTTTGCAATTTATTTATGAAGACATAAACAAATCGTATTGTTCCAAAGCATCATATTTCTTATCATTATGTGTGTTCAGCGACTTTAGATTGCTTAATATCGGTAAAGTGGCGCACAGCACAATCACTCACTCTTACTTTACAGGATCGCATAGTGATTGTGCAGAGCGAGTACCTCCCGGACAGGTCTGGCCCGGGGATGCCTGTCCAGAATGACCGGGGTGCGGGGAACACGCCACCCACCTATGAGCAAGCCGTCAAAGGCCCGGCAGTGAGGCCAACCTCGATGCCGGTGTAGTCCAGCAGGCCATCACGATGCGGAATTCTCAACTGCTCCGAAACCATGACAGCATAATAAACATAATATAAATCCTTGCGGCATACAAATAGTTTGGGATTCCAGTATGTTTATTTGAAAGAAAGAAATTGCAGTAAATGCTTCGCAGTAAATATTTTTCATGCCGTAAATAATACTTAAATATATCAGAGACTTTGATTTTATTTAACATAGTGTAGTCGTTTTTGTTTGTTTTTTTGTCTTTTGTCTTCTTTTTTTATGGGGTGGTCGGGTAGCCTAGTGGTTAAAGCGTTCGCTCGTCACGCCGAAAACCCGGGTTCGATTCCCGACATGAGTACAATGTGTGAAGCCCCTTTCTGGTGCCGTGATATTGCTAAAAGCGGCGTCTCACTCACTCACTCACTCACTCACTCACTCACTCACTCACTCACTCAGTCACTCACTCACTCACTCACTTTTTTTTATTTGGGATGTGGGTGGGTAAGTTACATTTCGACATCAAGCTCACTATGTAGTATGCATCTCATGTTCAGCATCAAATACAGTACATAAGAAACAAGAACTGGTCAACTCAGTTTTGTTGATATTATTCATAACAAAACGTATACTTTCTGAATTGTGTATACTTTAAATCTGTGTTCATAATATATGCCTTTATGCTGATATTCTTCTCACCAAACCTAACAATAAACATTACGCTTTGTGTAGCATGGGCCATTGGCCTTCCTGTACCGTACAAAGTATCATGTCGTAAACAAGCTCAAGAAATATAGGGACTTAACCCTGTAACCATGCACGTACATATATGCATTGATTTGAACATAGGGCATTGTCTAATTACGACCGGAAAAAGTGGCTCACTAATATGTCTTTCTCCCCAGAAACATTGTTGAATTATAATAGCTAGATAGATAGATCTACATATAGATAGTAATTAACATATTCTAAGATTTTTTTCACTCAGCTATATTCCAGCTATATGACGGCGATCTGTAAATAATCGAGTCTGGACAAGACAACCCAGTGATTAACATCATGAGCATCGATCCACGCAATTGGGATCGTTGACATGCATCAACCAAGTCAGCGAGCCTGGCCACCTGATCCCGTTAGTCGCTTCTTACGACAAGCATAGTCGCAATAAAACTGTTCATCTGTTGTGTACGTCGCCTGCTCAGATGCATTTATGTGTTTTTTTATCTCGCTTATAATACTGTAATAAATACGCTTATGATACACGTTGATAGCGAACTTATCGTGAAGTCCATATTTGACAGTGTAAGTGTTTGCAACCTCATTAAAATAAGATGGGAGTTCCAGCTACCGCTAGACAAAGGGTAGCTTTTCATTTGATATTTTCAACCATTTCCAACCAAAATCTATTAAATGAGATTGAAGTGTACCTTGTTTTGTATTTACATCAGGTGAATAATGTTTACTTTTTGTCAAATTCTCTTTTGTTTGGATACATGTGCTATTAGAAGCTTTCTAGTAAATATTTATTTTTCAATGATTTGACTTTGGTGTTCTTTTGGATGTTGATGACTAGGTCAAGTACGTGTATTTGGTTTGACGACGTGCTTCGGTGTTCGTATTCAAAATATGAGCGAGACAGAGAACAAGGGCGGATACAGTTTTCTTTGAAATGGATGGGTGTGTTTTGTAATCACAAGAATGACATACAACAATAACAGATTCCTCGAAATATTTCCGGACAGCCTTCGTGGCATAGAGCGTCTGCCGGAGAGCGGAAGGTCGGTGTTTCGATACCCGGCCGCATCATAACAAAATACGTTAAAAGTTGGTACTTTCGTTGTTACCCTGTCTGGCGCTCGGAATGAAGGGGCTAAGGCAGTGACTGGTCTGCTCGGAGTCAGGATACTGTGTCTGATTTTGTTTGTTTGTTTGTTTGTTTGTTTGTTTGTCAGCTGTTTAACGCCACACTCAGCAATAGTCCAGGTATATGACGGCGATCTGTAAATAATCGAGTCGGGACCAGACCAGTGACTGACATAATGAGCATCGATGCCATGCATCAACTAAGTCAGCGAGCCTGACCACATAATCCCGTTAGTCGCCTCTTACGACAAACATAGTCACCTTTTACGTCAAGCATGGTTTGCTGAAGACCTATTTTACCCCGGATCTTCACGGGTCTACTACTGGTCTGAGTGGTGTGTCCATGTTAAACATGTCGTCGGCGTGACGAGCAAACTTTTTAACTAAACCAAGCGGCAAAAGAAAGTATAGGTTGGCCATTTGTAATTTTCCTAAAAACATCGATAACTAGTGGAAAGTGGGTATTGGGAATATGACTGCCCAGGAATAGGTACCAAAAAACACCTCGCCCAAACGCGCCACCCTTGACGGCGCTTGTGCGGTGAACAAAAAACTGGTGAAACAGGTTTCCCGCCTATGGCATGAACTGCACGTGCATATTAGCAGTTTAATGCGTTCGTCTGCAGGATATAACCACACGTGATGAAAGCACACAAAAGAAATGCCACGATTGTCATAGGAGCACAGAGAGAGAGCCATCGGTATGGCCGAAATGGGGGCAACACAGGTCCAAATTGCCAGAAGGTTTGGTTGTACACCATTGCCAGCAGTAGCCAGGCTGATTCAACGGTACAGGCAGACAGGGAGGACACAGGACAGGCCTAGAACCGGACGGCTCATCCACCTGCGAAACGGATTCGTAAGGGCGACGGCAGCAACAGCGTTGGGACATCCCATTAGCCAACGTACAGTACTACGAATCCGAGCGTATCGTCCTTTCCGAGGAATGGTACTGACTGCTCAACATCGACGCCTGAGACTGCGATGGGCGAGGCAGGTTAGACGCTGGCAAGTGAGAAATTGGCGTCGAGTGCATGCTGTTTACTGATGAAAGTCGGTTTAACTTGTTTCGAAATGACGGCAGAGAACCGAGTTAATCGACGCAGGGGGGAACGTTTGGCTCTGGCGTGTATTCAAGTCCATCCATTCCCCGGGGGGAGGTGTTATGGTGTGGGGCGGTATTTGTTGAGATCAGAAGACTGATTTAGTGATTATACAGGGAAACCTGAACGCTGTGCAGTACAGAGACCAAGTGTTGCATCCAGTTGTGCTTCCGTTCTTACAAAAGCAACAGCAGGGGACATTGTTTCAACACGACAATGCCAGGCCCCATGACTGACTTTGAACTTTCTAAACCAGCAGAACGTTGACGTTTTGCCCTGGCCTGCCCACTTACCCGATATGAATTCTATTGAACATCTTGACAGACAGATTAGAGCACGCCATGAGCCTCCAGTCAACAGACAAGAATTGCAGCAGGGCCTGAGAGACGAGTGGCAACGGATTCCAGTCCACGTCATCAGAAGACTGGCGTCATCGATGAGGTGGCGTATCACAGCATGCATTGAGGCAGCTGGAGGTCATACACGCTATTGAAGGCAACTGTGTCGACAATGAACTTGTAGTGTGTCTGACAATTTTTGGGTGACATTTCAGACAACTTTTGAAAATAAAATTTCTTACCCCACCATTGTTTACCTTGAGCTTACATTACCTGTGATTGCACAATTTCATTCAAACTGTGGTTGATCAATCATGTGTTACCCCTCCCTAGATTATATTATAATTCACAACAAAACCTCTTCTTGTTTTGTTTTTTATCGATCATGGAACTCGACCTATACTTTCTTTTGCCGCCCAGTTTATTACGCTACCCCACCGCCCCTCTGATTTAAGTACTGTAACAATATAAATCTCACATCCACGTCCAAGACAGAATCCAAGGGAGGCGCAAGGTTTGAGTTCATCATTATGATGGTGAATTATTCAAATAATGATGAATAATAAATTGATATTTCACCAAGACGTATTGCAGATTTGTGTAGCTACATTACAACTAAAAACAAAATTCTTTCTTTGTAGGGAAAGTTGTAATAAATAAAAATATGCACTCATTCATCTCCCTACTCAAACAGCTCCACACACCCGCCTACACCAGTCAACTAATCCGGGGACCCATTTTCAATGTTCCGCCTACCGTTTTCTACATAAAAAGCGCACAGGGCGCTCTCAAATTTAGATGTAGGGGGCTCTTATTAGAATATTATTTTGGTGAAAAAAAACCAGAGTTGAAAGATCGTTAATTTCGTGGTTTATGCTGACAGCCTGAAATGTTTATATACGACAGATTTATTTTTCCAGAATTTAATTGCCCATAATTAAGGGTGCGTATTATACACGAGTAAATTTAAGTCTTGTGTACACAGATCAATCGGAAGGCGTCCTAATTGGGATTGTTCACTTGCCAATATACGAGGGGCGTTCAATAAGTTTTGCAAATTCAATATAAGACCAAGTCGCAGAATATCTTTTGCACTTTTATTTTTCAATATAATCTTCATTCACCTCAATACACTTATTCCATTTGTCCTACAAGCTTTTAATACCACTTTTATAGAAAACCGCGGACTGGCCCGCTAACCACGCCTCTGTGACAGACTTTATGTCCTCGTCATCCTGGAAGCGTCTTCCACGTAGGGCAGATTTCATTTGCCGGAACAGGAAATAGTCACTGGGGGCTAAGTCTGGGCTGTAAAGTTAAATTACCCACCCTACAGCCCAGACTTAGCCCCCAGTGACTATTTACGTGGAAGACGCTAAGACGCTAATTTTAAGACGTCACCCATCCCAATTACGTGGATCGATGCTCATGGTGTCAATCACTGGATTGTCTGGTCCAGACTCGATTAATCACAGACCGCCGTCTTATAGCTGTAATATATTGCTGAGTGCGGCTTAACAACACAGAGTCCAGCAAACGAACTATTCTTCGATCTGTCGTCTCTCGTGAGAAACTCCCGTCAACGCTTTTAAAAGCTGACTGTCGACGCTCTTGCAACAGCTAGAAAACCACCTCCTAGTAAATCTCCCGCATAAAGCCTCTTCTGTCATATATCAAGTCAGCACCCCTGAACCCAACTATTACGTCATATATATATATATATATATATATATATATATATATATATATATGAACCGCCCATGCCCTCATTCTTGCACAATGTACACCACGGGGATGACGGCAGCGCATTTTATAAGCGACACCAGTTTAGCATTCACTCCGGACTTACCGGAAGAACATAATAAGGTTGTCCAAGTTCGTCGGAGAAAAACAGGTTACCGAGGATTATTAGGTATTTATTTCTCTGTCAAGCTTGGTAACCAGTATATGATAGTCCCTTGTTGTTCCAATGCTTCTGTACTTACGAGGGAGTATCTAACTCGTCCTGTAAATAGCTGGTAAGGCTTTCATACTGGGCACACACATTCTGCAATGGCCGTTTTCGTGCGACCCAATCTTGTCGCTACACACCAGCTACACATATTTCATTCGAATTTCAGTATGATATTGAAGACGCTTTGAAATATTTACAAGGATACTACTGCATGTTTAACTGTAGTGATAACATTGAAGAAGCACTGGGATTGTCCTTGCGTGTCGTGAATCATGTAAATAAACACGACCTGACAAAGCAAAGCGAACATTTTAAGTTTGGCATCAATATTTTTACCCGTAACACGTCTTTGTTACAGCGGATATTTTGTGGGCACGGTATGTGTTAACTTGATGACAAGCTGATGATAAACTTTCATCAGTTCAAGAATTACTGCTTTGAACTGCGTTGAATGTCTTAGGCCTTTCTGTGTAGCCAAACTAATTTAGTCAAGTCATTGCATTATATAACGTTATTTCAGCCTTTGAAAAATTAATAATTCAGCTTTTTAGCTAAACATTTATGAGAAATTATCAATTTTTTCTGCTCTGGTGACTATATTTTATGTGCCCAAATTGAATGGGTGGTCCACCCAGGTGGCCTGGTTAATTGTGTCTCATCATACCCTGTTGTGTTGGGGTTTGGGTGCAGGCTGAAGGGGCACCTCAGCAAAACATTACAAATTTTATCTGGCGAAAACTGCTCCAGAAGAGCGATGGAACTGAAAAAAGAAACTTATTGTTATTTTGAATGTTTCAGTTTCAATTTCATTTTCAAATTGTGTGAAATTGAGAAAATGTACTTAAGATATCAAAGTATGTGAATTAATCTAAACATTTCTAAGGCAATTAGCATTTCACAATTATTTGTGTTTGATGTGAACATGGTTAACCTTTGAGCATTGTTGAGTTAATTACATTTATTGCTTGTTTTAAAAAACAAAGTAAAAAGTAAATAAGGTTTCCATTTTCGTCTCACATTAGTAGTTGTTTGTTGTTTAATGCCGCACTCAGCAGTATTCCAGCTATATGATGGCGGTCTGTTAATAATCGAGTCTGGACCAGACAATCTGGTGATTAATATCATGAGCATCGATCCAGGCAATTGGGATCCATGACATGCATCAACCAAGTCAAGCGAGCCTGACCACCCGATCCCGTTAGTCGCCTTTTACGACAAGCATAGCTATTATGGCTATTGGCAAGGTGCCGTTTTAGCTATAATCAGACGTGTGTATCATCAAATATCAACCAATGGATTGTCTGGTCCAGGCTCAATTTACAGGCTGCCATCAAATAGCTCGACTGTTGTTGAGTGTGGATTAAACAACTAACAAACAAATGATAAGGGACTTTTTGCAAAAGTTAGCTGTCAACTGTTAGATTTAAAAATCTAGATTTTAGCCATCCACCTAAGTTGGGATTCTGTGTTAGAATAAATTCCCAGTAACCTGTACTTGTACAAGGGGACTAAATAAATCGTGTGATCAGGTGCAGTGTGTTGGGTGCTCATCCCACCAGACTGTGTGGGACGTTGCACGAAGTGTTGGGAGCCCAAAGTGTTGTGGCCCCGTCGTCTAAGGCGCCGCCGTGATATTGCTGGAATATTGCTAAAAGCGGCGTAAAACCAAACTCACTCACTCACTCGTCTAAGGCGCTGCATGATTCGCTGTGCAGAGTTGCGTTCCTTTGGCACACCAGAAACCTATGACTGTGGGTTCGAATCCCGGTTCGCCCCGATAATGTTTCTAGGTTTGTCAGCACCATACCCGTGCTCATGGGTTTCACCGAAGTTGTAAACATCTGAGACCTGCATCACTTCAGGCTTTCCTCCCACATTAAGCTGACTCACCGTGATATAACTGGAATACTGTTAAAAGCGGCGCTAAACTGAACTCACTCGCTCACTCACTGCTCGAAGTGTCAGATCCAGATTCGTCTGGTCCAAATTCAACTTTTTACATGTCGCCGTCATATAGCTGGAATACCGCTGAGTATTCCAGGAAGTATGCAGGAAGTTGTGTTTAATGACAATACTTCTGATCATCCTGATGTGAAACTTACAATAACTTCTCAAATGCTTTGGATTTTTTCCTTGTAGCTACATTTTTTGTAAGAAAGTAGGTCAGAAACATTCTGATTTAGTTTATAGATTTGTGTGGAAGGGACAACGTTAATCACTGAACCAGAAAGTTCAAACCATAATTAGCATGATTAGAGTTTTTGTGTTCCATATTTTTACCTGGAACATGTGTTTCATAATTGTTTGTAACTTGTGAAGATCCGGGTTAGAATAGATCTTCAGCAACCCATGCTTGCCGTAAAAGGTGACTAGGCTTGTCGTAAGAGGCCACTAACGGGACCGGGGGGTCAGACCTGCTGACTTGGTTGATGCATGTCATCGATTCCAATCGCGTGGGACCCGTGAAGATCCGGGGTAGAATAGGTCTTCAGCAACCTTTGTCTGGTCCAGACTCGATTATTTACAGACCGCCGTCATATAGCTGGACTATTGCTGAGTGCGGCATTAAACAACAAACAAACCAAATCATAATTGATTGTATTGACAGAAATAAGAACTTGTAATTATGTCATTGGTCAAGCTGAATGCAATGGGAAGAGTCATACATACGTTCGTAAATACAATGTTTGTAAATACAAAGTTAGCAAATACATCTACCATATTTTCTTGACTATTGTGCACACCCGAGTATAATGTGCACCCCCTTCTAGCGGATTCAGTATTTAACAAAATAAAAAATTTCGAAATATTAAGCGCAGAAAAAAAATTACCCCGTACCCCTTCAGCGATTTCCGGTAAATGAACAGGTGATGAGCATGATGAGAAACTTGGTCAGTACAATTTTGAAATTAGAGATAAAAAAAACACCACACATGTTGATTTTACTGTTTAAATTGTATTTTTCTTCTGCTAGGCATTGTTTTACATTCAGGGATTAAGATTACCTTGTGTAAACTAAGCCGGAAACAGCAATCAGCTTTACACACGTTTTCTTGGAATCCAACAGTGATTTGGTCAAGACACACCCAATGATATAACTTTATTGGATTTTAATGCAAGGATCGGCCAAAATTGTATCTGAAACTATTTTTTATTGTCTTTCCATTGAGGGAATAAACCATCAAAACTCATTATTGCGTGTATAATGCGCACCCCCTTCTACACAGCTGTGTCTTTTGGGAAAAAAGTGCGCACTATACTCAAGAAAATACTAGATTAATGGGGTTCCCAACCACTCAGCCACTAAATGTAAGAAATTGCATCTAGTTATTGACTGAACATGTGCTGAAACTTCTGACGACCCCTAAGTACAACTGAGGTTTATGTCAAGTTATTTAAGGGTCAAGTCTCCTCTGTCCATTAGGTTTATCTATCAAATGTCTATTATTGTCAAACATTGTTTATGGGCATTCAAGTAATGTTTAACATTCTTTTTTTCCAGATTGTTCTTGTTCAGACTTTGTCACGATGTTGGATTATTACTATATGTAAGTAGAGCTTTTTCTTAGTGCTGAGATATACTTTCAGTAAACATGTTCTGAAAACCTCATATATGTCTAAAATGGAAGAATTGGTCCATTGGACCCGTGAAGATCCAGGCTAGAATAGGCCTTCAGCAACCCATGCTTGCCGTAAAAGGCGACTATGCTTGTCATAAGAGGTGACTAATGGGATGGGGTGGTCAGGCTCGCTGACTTGGTTGATCCATGTCATCGATCCCAATTGCGTGGATCGATGCTCATGATATTAATCACTGGATTGTCTGGTCCAGACTCGATTATTTACAGACCGCCGTCATATAGCTGGAATATTGCTGAGTGTGGCGTTAAAGGGCAAGTTCACACGGAAATGAACCAATTTTTCTTGTACTTTTTCCACATTAAAAGTGTTAACATAGAAGTGTCATAGATAAAAATATAAAAACATCATATTTAATTAACATATTTTTTGCATTAAAACGATTTATATTTTTCACTTTTACCAAGTGTTCTATTTCCATAACAAAAACACCATGGCTTATGCCCCTTGCAATATGACGTCATTGGTGCCAAATGATAAACATTATGACGTCATCATGCTTTGTTAGAGCCGCTTCACGTGGTGTAGGTACAGTTTTGTGATTCTAGCGTCTCAGATGCCAGCCAGAATTGTGTTATGCTGAGTCACCACTGCGCCGGAGTGTGTCGTAGACCATGTTGTTTTACCGCAAACTGGTCGTTGATATCTTTTGCGTTGAGAATAGACAGGGACCCAGTTGAATTGGCACCAATTACGTCATAATCTAAGGGGGATAACTCAGGCCTATTTCGCTCGTAAAACGAAGGCTTCATAACGGCATATCATTTTCACACTATTGTGAGCTTCCTACTTTCACTGTGAAACAAAATGAGTGTATATTTTCAAACACAGATACTAACTAATTCTAAAATTGCGTTTTGTTTAGAAAAAGAAAGAAAGTGATTTTTGCGTGTACACTTCCCCTTTAAACAACAAACAAACAAACAAAATATTTGGTCCACAGCAACCTATGCTGGTCATTACAGGCGATTTAATGGATCGGATTGAATGAATGAATGTTTTTGCGATCAACCATTGACGATCATGATTGTCACAAATACATGTTCTGTTTTCAGCATCATTGTGATTCTGGTGTTCCTCAAGGTTATCTTTTGGACTTTTTACTTCTACATTCGAGCCCAGAGACTGCGTACAGCCAGAGTGCAGCGACAGTTTGTCATCGTGGACACCAGACAGATGCCACCAGGCTACAATGTAAGTATACTTCCACCCAAGTGGAAGTTTTGTCATTTTTAAAAATAAAATACGAACATTCCTAAGTAGAAGATCATTCAGACGTCGTCATTCTGAAGCTTTAGTCTTTTCTGCTTATGTCACTCTGATAGGTACAGTGTTCATTCAAGGTGACAAAAGTGAAGAGCCCTCTGGGCCCACAAGTGACAACAATGGGGCGCCACCGTTTTGTTTGAAACAAATGCAAGTGATACGAAAGGTTGATTCTGATTGGTCTATAGGAGAGGCATAGAAAGGACAAAACTCGTAATAGCCACTGGTGGCGCTACGATCGAGCCCAGGAATTCTAGCCTAGTTCGGCAAGGGTGGAAACTGGACTTTTAAAGTCAGTTAACTATCTTGCCTCGGCAAGATGCCACCAGCCTTGATACCACGGATACTACAAAAGATCCGACACAAGAGCTACCTACAATTGCTGTTGGTAGCGCCTTACTGGCCGGTGAGAACTTGGTTTCCAGATCTCGATGAACTAGCAGGGATTCCAATACGAAAAAATTTCCAAACTGGTCACATCTACTGCTACAATGTCACTCCAATCAGGTCCATCCAAAACCAGAATTATACAAACTTCACGTACGGAGCATATCAAGAGCAGTCTCGTAAAAAGAGGATATTCTATAAGAGCAGCTCACACAGTCTTCTTAGCTCTTTGTCGATCAACCAGAATCTCTATAACGATAAATAGAAAAGTTTTCACCAGTTTGCGAGATCCAAGGTTTTTTCTGCAGCCAAACTTGCTATACCACAAGTAGCAGATTACCTATGCCATTTACGAAGTACAAGGAATCCTAAAGGTTCGACACTGGGTACTTACTTGGTTGGTATCAGTTCTGTACCGACTATGACTTGTGGATAAAACCTCAAACTCTTACATTCAAGACTGTCTTCCTCCTTGCGCTGGCTCCTGCAGCCCGTGTTAGTGGGATTCGTGTTTAGACATCGGTTGAGTCCGGTTCCAGTGTCTTCAACTGGGTAGATATTCTTGGACTTGTGCTGGGACTTTATTGCTAAAATTCAGCTCCCAGGACAAACGGACGGCCTATTCAATCACCCTCCACCACTCTCAGTGATTGGGAGCTGATGACGTGGAAGACGTCTCACTTTGCCAAGGCATCTCAGACCACCCATCGCTATCGCAAGCATCTTTTCATCCCCTCGTCGACGGCTGGAACTTCTGAGGTATCTCGAACCACCATCTCCAATGGCTGTGTTCTATCATCCACAGGGCTGACACCTGATCAACTCTGTCTTGTGCAGGGTGATGTAAGGAGTTGGTTGAAGACCTGTGTGAAAAACGGGTCTATGTCAATAAAAGCCACCATCCGGTGTGGCCATTTGTTTAAATGATGTCCCGATCTTCTACCTGCTCACCTCTGTCATGCGCATGTGATGTCTCAGTAGTTGATTTAAGACCTGTGTGAAAACGGGTATCATCGTTCGTTTCCTCTTCTCGTTCTTACCTTAATCAATCTCTATGTGAGTTTGATTGGTTGACAAAGCGAAAAAAGAGATGCCAAGCTGGTCCACCTTACATCCTTGCGTGGGTATATGTGAGGTCTGTCTTGTAGAACCTACTGGCTGGGGACAGGGTGTTTGTACAAAACACCTCCTATCCAGGGTAAGGTTAAAGTCATGACTGATTAGGTGTCGCCTGGCTCTTAGTTACGCGGTCGTTTCTTGGAACGGCGTTCTGTGTGAAACCATGGAACACATGATTCCCTGATGTCATGATGTAAATCACTTGGTAGCACAAAGAGGGTTTTTGAAGCAACCATTACACAAGTTTATCACTAATCCTTGTAAAATCCTTGAAATTTTCGTGATTAGTTCCAACTTCATCGTGAACATCTCACGGTTGAGGTCCTTACAGGCTAGGGAATTAAGCCTCTACACTCCCAACTCCCAACCCTATCGCTAAGCACCCACAACTTGAAAGTGTTTGTGTAAACAACATAACAATACCAATTGGCCCGTTATTATCAGTGCTCATTTCCTTGTGTACAGTGTTGCTTTTTAAACAACAGGAAGCAATCACAGTGGTCACCGTTTGTGACGTCACAGGAAACAGCTGATCACATGTTTTTGCAAATGGAATAACTCGCCATTACAGTTGTTTATTTGCCTCTTTCAATAAAGGCAGATACTTGTTCACTATCAATTTATGAACTTTGCGAAATGTATGTAATAGCTATTGGCGATTTCATCTGTGGATTATATATTTTAGCTGTGGATTTCATATATTGTTACATGTAAAGATTGTGGAGTTTATGAAGAATGATAAACTTTGAATTGAAATCTTATCATCGGAAGTAGTAACATGCATAACATTTTTTTAATAATGACAACATTGGTGTATAATAATAATTTTATCGATAATTTATAACAATAATGGCTGTAGTCGCGGCAACTTCCAAACTTTCGGGAAGTTGTAATCTATCAGACCGTCATTCAGGCGATGTTTCTGACAGATCACGATCTGAAAAATACTATCATGAAAGTGTATCCCGTGGATAAGCCGAGCCTTTTCTACAGAAACCTTTTTCTGGTCCTCAAAATTCGGCTTTTCTGCAGACATATACGTTAAATGCATAGTGTGAGATAGGATAAGTTTAAGAATGTGTAAATTTTCTAATGAATTGGATATTAATATACTTATCCTATCTCACATGCTAAGCGCCCACCCAACCATCCCCTCATCACAGTTACACCAGCCTGTATGCTCTAGATTGAGAATGAGGGTGCTGGATATGTCAGGTGATCGGATCGCAGGAGTCAGGCAGCACGGGGTTGCAGTGGTGTGTGACCCATGATCACAGTGGTGACTTGGTGATGTATGGGATGTGTTGAGGTGATTGGTGTTTTTTGAAGCTGGAAACTTTGTTCTAGGGCGTTTCACCACCAGGATCGAAGAATAAGAATAAATGCATAGTGTGAGATAGGATAAGTGTATAAATATACAATTTATTAGAAAATTTACAAGGTCGGGATGGTGATCTGAAAAGGTTTTGGCACATTGAGGATAGATTTGGGCGAGTGACCAATATTTTCCCAATTTTTGTGTTACAGGACCGCTCAGCCATTGTTCAACATGAGGTTCTGCCAGACACCTGTCCAGGCCTGCCCCCCCAGTACACAGGGACTGCCACCCAGTTCCCAGGGGGACCCCCACCATATGAAGAAACACAGCACAACCAGCCCAACAAGCCCCCGAGTTATGAACAAGCTATATCAGGCTATGCTCCATCTGCCCCCACAGAAGCCACGAGCCAGGCCCAGAACCCAACACCGGTGCCAGTCGTCTACGTAGAGACTGGGATCTCCAACACTTCACAAGGCATCGGTGTTCATGGTCCGTCGTAAACAGCTTGTCTGTCCTGTCAACAACAAACAAGGCTATTTGTTATAGTAATTTGCAATGCTATCAATCCAGGCAACACAGACCACACTGTTTTTATTTGATGGTTTATGGAGTTTTGTTAACCATTAACTGTCCATTAGTTTGAGTTGATCAAAATAAAAATACATTTGATATCATTGCAGTGTTTCGGTGTAGGTTCTAACACCGTTATCAAGCAAGTGATGTACAGAGTATGGTTGACAAGCATTTATACTGGTATGAGGCAGTGTTCATACAGTTGAGATACAGATACAGTTGAGTAGATTGGGATGTAGTTACACTGGAGTGAAGCCTGTTATGTACGCAAAAGAGGGGGGATATTAGGAAAACATCTTAACATGTGAAGCCAGTACTATATTACCTTATATCCCCCCTTTTATGTACATAACAGGCTTCTCCACTGGAGCGTAACTGCATCCCATTCTACTCAACTGTATAAACACTGCCTCCTACCTGTATATATACTTGTCAACCATACTCTGTCCATCACTTGCTTGAAAACGGTGTTAGAACCTACACCGAAACTTCGCTTCTAATTGAAATAAGAAGTTGTCATCGATATATTTTATCCTTACTAAAAACTAAATGTGTGTTGCGCAATTTTGTTTTATTTTATTTTAGATTATTTGAGTCAGTCAAATTAAATAAATGAATGCTAATACTGTTTAAAGTACAAGATGTTATTTTAGCAGTAACATATATATAGTTTTACTTGTGAGAAAGGTTTTTTCTGTTTAGAAAGGTTTTACAGTGGCAAAAGACTTGCAATGCATGTCATCAATTTGTATTTAAAAAGTTAATAGGTACTTATACAATTGTAGTTCTTTCTATTTTCGAATAGTCAGGGATGAAAAAATGTTTTTGAGTTAGATTTATTTCATTTTCTGATTGTGACTTTTGTTGAGTCCGTAAACCAAAAGAAAAAGTGTCTCGTAATTGCGGTGAAGCATAATGGTATGAGGGTCTCACAAAGTGAATGTGTTATCATGCTAATGGCTATATTTTATTAACATACTTTTAGCCTAGCTCAAGGATGTAAAACGTATTGAAAAAATACATGGTGTTTTACTACAATAAGATTATTCGTTGGAAAAAAGGCTAGATAATACTGTATAACATGTGCCTTGAGAAAAAATATAATGTGAGAGGGATTGTACTAGTGTCCTGTGATGATTGCTGAATGACGGTATGTATTTTAATGTGATATATTATTTTAAGTGCCATTTTATGTTACCTAGAACATTCCTATTGGATCTTGCATAGTACAAGAAGGTTGTGTGATTATACGAGATTTTACCACTGATGTGTGTATTTGCAAGACACTGGTTTGATTACCAGGAAGGGGAGGGATTGTGCAGCCTCAGAATTTCATCTTGTAGTCCTGAATCCTTAGCCTTTGTAGCTAGTCATTTATTAAATCTAATGTTTCAATTTGAAGCTTTTTAAAAAGAAATGTGATTTATTTGGTTTGTCCCCACTTACAATCCTTATCCTTACAACATACTTGAAGCAGGGCCCAGTCCCCTCCCACTATAGGAGTCTCAGTGTTACGTTTATCATGTCTGAGCCAACGAATGGGAGCACCCCTCAAGATTGAATAATGCCATGGCTGCTTTTGTGAGATTTCGATTTTTGAGACATGTTACTTTTCCAGGGAGATTTGAACTGTAATAGTGTTTTCCTTCTGTTGTTGCTTGTTATAACATAATACTCCAAAGATGATGTATTTTTATGATTTATGTAGTTGTATCCTGAAATGTAACAATTCAAAGTGTCTTGTCGGTGACTAGAAATACTTATTCTTTTACGAGACTTATGTTTATTTAACCAACATCAATATATCTCAAACAGAATCTATAGTCACATATATTCCAGACATGTTGTGTGTGATTCTAGAGAAACATGAAAGAATAGCTGGAGATGTATTAAACCCTGACATAGCAGACACCTGCCCCCCTGTCTCCCTTCACACTCCACCTGCCTGTGTGTTATATATACCACTCTAAAGAAGTTAAGGAGTCCCAAATTGTTTCATTTTACTATAGTTAGTAAGAAAAACGCACAACTTGATGGAAAACAACTTCTGGTTTATTGCATATAGCAATGTTTTGATGTAGATTCTGACAACGATATCAAGATGTAGTCAAACGGTGTATGAATCTACATCAATATGTCGCTACATGCAAGAAACCTGAAGTTGTTATCCATATAATTGTACTTTTTCTTACATATTTGCCAAATTCTAGAATGCCAATCAAACAGTCACTATATGTAGTGTATCATGACAGATTAACTGTAGTAACGTGAAAGAATCAGTTGTTCTTTAACCCCTTGTGAGTATTATACATTCATTCTCATCTTCTTTTTCCAACTCCATTTTATGATGCAGAAATATATTTGCCTTATTATTCAGCTTTTTGCACTATTGACACATTAATGGAATCACATTCCCAGAGAAAGAGACAGGTAGTTAGGTTTTATGTACCCCATGATTGTGTTTGTTAGATGTGTTAGGTTTTGCAGGAATTATTGTAACATTTTCAGTTTCGGCAGAATCTTTTTATGCTTGGACAAATATCTTTTTAACTCTCAGTGGTTGGGAATTTTATCCTGATTTAGACATTAGCCATCCCCTTTTATAAATTGTTTGTCACCGTGGAATTTGTGTATCAATGTCAGCAACATGAGGCTGAAATGCTGCAATAAAGGGAGGTTTAACATACAAATTTACATCTGCAAAGTAAGGGTCTCCACTGCCAATACTACTCGAGAAGTTGATTTCCACCTGATTAACACATTTGAGTTCTGTATGTGATGCTTTGAGCATCACAGCTCTGTGTGATGGTTATGTAGTACACCAAGTGTGTGAGTAGGACCAGTGACAGATTTATTGAAGCATTCTCAGTCCTATATATTCGCCCCTCAGGTCTATAAATGTCAGTAAACATTCCGAAATGAAAACTTACAGTATCCTAGTTCAGGTTATTACAATAAAACCATCTTTTGTCTTTTGCAATCATGACTTTTATGTCACCAATAATGAGCTATTATTTCAAACTTAATTTACGTTATTGCTTTGAATACAACTCTGACTTTACGAAAATATGTTTTCACAATTTGACTGGCATGGACGCTTTGATCAAAGTTGAAGGTAAATCCCCATGCTAGTCGTTAGGATTCCTGGGACCGTTAACAAATACTCTTGTACTCAATAATGTGTTCATGGACTGCTTCATTGGATATGCTGATAGCACTGTATCTGTTAATAATTACCTACCTTTGTTATGCATTGGCTGTTGAATGTACCATTATACAGTGCCTTAAATGTTTTGATATATGTTGTGGGAGATTACCTGTATGCTTGTATTTAGCTGTATAGTTCGCTGGATGATTTTTTCACTTTTTGAATCTCATTATCCCTTTTAACAAGCTCAGATTAACATTTAGTTTTAATAGTGTAATTTTTTAGTAATAGTCGAATTTGACTCGGGTCTTTGATTTCACTGTTTCAGAGTGATTTCTTCAGCTAAGATCGTGTCATGTGTTAGACCTTGCTCCCAAATTTAACATTTGTTTAGTGCACAGGTGGCTCTGTTGTCTAAGGTGAGGCTCTTCCAATTATAACCATTTTGAAATTCCTTTACTTATACTGTTTGAAGTATGACATATATTTCATATAAATTGACATGTGTCATACTTTTATGGTCATTTTTAGGATTGCAACCTGATGACCCCATATTTGTTTATACTCTCCTTTTATATATGCCATTCTGTTCAATTTGAATAGTGTGAGTATAAAACAATTTAGTTACTAATTCCTTTCTGATTATGATAGCCTGATACTACAGCTTACAGGAGTAGAATGGTCAGTCAACCATTAGGATATCATACAGTTTGGAACACATAGAATCTAATAACAATAATTATAGCCTTCTCCCTTCTCTGCGATAATTATTAAATTATCACATATCACAAAACGCTTTTAGTGTGGTGATGGTTTATCCCTGTGACGTGCACATCATTAGTTTTAGATGGTCTGGCATCCATTCTTAGGATGGGATGTTGTAGGTCAGGTTTCATTGTCTAAGTGCTTTATAGTAAGATTTATAGGTGGAATCACGGTTTGGCTGGGTGAAAGTCTCTTTCTCCACTTGTCAGTGTCTCGGGTCAAATTCTACTTGTTCACAAAGGAAGCCAGTTATTTCCATGTGAAGCTCTGAGAATGTAGGGGAGCACAGTGGTTAAAGGGTTAGCTCCTGCCGATGAACTGGGTTCAATTCCCAACTCTGGTACTATGTGTGAAGACTATTTAATGTTCCCAGGCATTATTTGCCCTGAATGTTTGTATGAGTGGAGTTAAACCACTCATTTTCCTCCACTCAAGTGTAGAGTGTCGCTAAAAACCTGCATTAAAACGAGTTGAGCACAAACTGTCACCATTTTTTGTTACATGTTGCAATTATGAGTCTTTCATTTCAATGTCATTAGATGATCTTATCAATGACTTGCATGTGTTTCCATTCGATAATAGGATTTGATTTACGTTATTTTAATAATCATTTTTTTCTTTAATGATTCTCTACGTATGTTTTGTGATAAATAGTCATAATCATGATAATGAGATTATGTATTAATAACAGCTTGTAGTGTGTTTGTGATTCATACCCTAAAATTAAGAGAGTGACTTGCCATATTTCAGCTGTATTCAGAGATGGCATTTGGAGTTATGCAGGGTAGCTCTACACTGCAGTCTGTGTAGGTTAATAGTAAACCACCAGTTGATTAGCAAATACCTTTGTCACAATTTTAACCACCTTCAGACTATTAACATGTAATCTAAGACTTCCAGTTTTTCACATAGTATGATAAATGTTGTTTTTTACAAGAACTCTTAAAAATCTTTGCGAACAGCCTAGTGTCTGCAGATAATCATGAACCATTGGAGATCAAGGTAGATGGTTCTTACAAATTAATTACAGTTGTGAATAATAATAAGTGATGGTAATACTGCTTGAAAGTGCAATAAGTTTAAAAGTTGTGTTAAATCGTGTATATAACTAAAGTATGTAGAACACATAGTACTGAAGGTCAAGAACACTAGAACAACCCACTTGACCACCTTGTCAGTGGTAGGTATATATATGTGTCATTTATCACGTTAAGTTTATCCTCATAAATTCCTAAATGTTAGGGGGGCACGGGTGTCCCAGTCGTCTAAGGTGCCGCGATTCGCTGTGCAGAGTTGCGTCCCTTGGCCACGCCAGAAACCTATGATTGTGGGTTCGAATCCCGGTTCACTCCGATTATGTTTCTAGGTTTGTCAGCACCATACCCGTGCTCGTATGTTTCACCGAAGTGGTAAACGTACGAGACCAAACTCACTCACTCACTCGCCTAAATGTTGGAGTACCGAGAAGTCATTAAATTCATTCAGAATATGATCATACCACTTGTATTTCAGATGTCATTTTTCTATTCCCATATGTCAGTTGCTGCAATGCTGTTAGGAAAAAATATTTTGTCAATGTTGAATGCTGACAGGTCAGGTCATGAAATCGATGTAACACTACAAATCTCAATATTAAGTAAAATAACTGATTGTCCATTATGCTGTGCAATAAAAGCCAGGAACCAGAGTATGTATATGCCAAAAAATCCATTCCATCATAACTGCTGGCACTGAGAGTGTGTTTAGAATTATACATACTTTAGGGGGTAAAATAGGTTTTAAAAAAAAATGTTCCTTGATCAGAATTTACAAACATCATGAAGATAAATATAACACACAATTGCATGATTATACTGGCTTGCACTATTTAATTATGATCGCTATAGTTCGAACTAAAATCTTGATCAGGTTTAAGCACCCAATGAAATCATACTCTTGTCATCTTGAGATGAAGGGTTTTTAATACAATTGTTAGCACTGTGTGAATATTATTCATATGTGTTCAATAAAGAATTATTTTCATACATATTACTTTGTGTTGTATGTTGGAATACTCCCAGAGAATGAAAGGCAAATGTACACTGATACATAGACCAGGCTAGTAATAATGTAGAGCTCAGAGCATGCCACTGTGGAGTGGAAATATTACACAATATTAATGGCAGCATTATTCTTGTTATTAGTCGGTCATTGTAAGATTGTGTGATGTTACAGCAGTAAAGATGATGATGCTTCAAATACAGTGTAAACAATGGAGGGGAGTGTAAAGACACAACACAGGGACCATGCTGTTTTATAAACAACCCAACAATATCAGTCTACATGTTCACATTTAACACACACATACCCCCACCCACCTATTTGGTTTTTACAGATTCATCCAAAACAATCTTGAATGAAAATCCCTATTCTGTTTATATTTTTATCCCCTGCCGGGCCTGAATGGCCGAAGGGGGATTATGTCGTGGCGGAGTCCGTCCGTCCGTCCCACAGAGGGTACTAAGCTTGTGAAGTCAACTCCTACAGTTTCCAGAGAATATCCCTGACACTCTACACACAAGATGTCGACATGTTGATATGCATATCGCAGTCCCATTTCATTTTGACAGAGTTACTGCCCCTGTTTTACGGAGCTTCATTTGCCTAATTGTGAGAGAGGCTACTAAGCTTGTGAAATCAACTCCTCCTCCAGCTTTTAGAGAATATCACTGACACTCTCCACACAAGATGTCAACATGTTGATGATACGCTTATCGCAGTCCCGTTTCATTTCGACTAATTTTGACAGAGTTACTGCCCCTGTTTTACGGAGCTTCATTTGCCTAATTGTGAGAGAGGCTACTATAAGCTTGTGAAATCAACTCCTCCTCCAGCTTTAAGAGAATATCCCTGACACTCTACACACAAGATGTAGACATGTTGATGATACGCATATCACAGTCCCATTTCATTTCATTTCGCCTAATTGTGAGAGAGGCTACTAAGCTTGTGAAATCAACTCCTCCTCCAGCTTTAAGAGAATATATCCCTGACACTCTACACACAAGATGTCGACATGTTGATGATACGCATATCGCAGTCCCGTTTCATTTCGACTAATTTTGACAGAGTTACTGCCCCTGTTTTACGGAGCTTCATTTGCCTAACTGTGAGAGAGGGTACTAAGCTTGTGAAATCAGCTCCTCCTACAGTTTCCAGAGAATATCCCTGACACTCTACACACAAGATGTCGACATGTTAATTGATGATACGCATATCGCAGTCCCGTTTCATTTCGACTAATTTTGACAGAGTTACTGCCCCTGTTTTACGGAGCTTCATTTGCCTAATTGTGAGAGAGGCTACTAAGCTTGTGAAATCAACTTCTCCTACAGTTTCCCGAGAATATCCCTGACACTCTACACACAAGATGTCGACATGTTGATGATACACATATCGCAGTCCCGTTTCATTTCGACTAATTTTGACAGAGTTACTGCCCCTGTTTTACGGAGCTTCATTTGCCTAATTGTGAGAGAGGTACTAAGCTTGTGAAATCAACTCCTCCTACAGTTTCCAGAGAATATCCCTGACACTCTCCACACAAGATGTCAACATGTTGATGATACGCATATCGCAGTCCCGTTTCATTTCGACTAATTTTGACAGAGTTACTGCCCCTGTTTTACGGAGCTTCATTTGCCTAATTGTGAGAGAGGCTACTAAGCTTGTGAAATCAACTCCTCCTCCAGCTTTAAGAGAATATCCCTGACACTCTACACACAAGATGTCGACATGTTGATGATACGCATATCGCAGTCCCGTTTCATTTCGACTAATTTTGACAGAGTTACTGCCCCTGTTTTACGGAGCTTTATTTGCCTATTTGTGAGAGAGGGTACTAAGCTTGTGAAATCAACTTCTCCTACAGTTTCCAGAGAATATCCCTGACACTCTACACACAAGATGTCGACATGTTGATGATACGCATATCGCAGTCCCGTTTTATTTCGACTAATTTTGACAGAGTTACTGCCCCTGTTTTACGGAGCTTCATTTGCCTAATTGTGAGAGAGGCTACTAAGCTTGTGAAATCAACTCCTCCTCCAGCTTTAAGAGAATATCCCTGACACTCTACACACAAGATGTCGACATGTTGATGATACGCATATCACAGTCCCGTTTCATTTCATTTGCCTAATTGTGAGAGAGGCTACTAAGCTTGTGAAATCAACTCCTCCTCCAGCTTTAAGAGAATATCCCTGACACTCTACACACAAGATGTCGACATGTTGATGATACGCATATCACAGTCCCGTTTCATTTCATTTGCCTAATTGTGAGAGAGGCTACTAAGCTTGTGAAATCAACTCCTCCTCCAGCTTTAAGAGAATATCCCTGACACTCTCCACACAAGATGTCGACATGTTGATGATACGCATATCACAGTCCCGTTTCATTTCATTTGCCTAATTGTGAGAGAGGTACTAAGCTTGTGAAATCAACTCCTCCTACAGTTTGCAGAGAATATCCCTGACACTCTCCACACAATTTAAGATGTCGACATGTTGATGATACGCATATCGCAGTCCCGTTTCATTTCGACTAATTTTGACAGAGTTACTGCCCCTGTTTTACGGAGCTTCATTTGCCTAATTGTGAGAGAGGCTACTAAGCTTGTGAAATCAACTCCTCCTCCAGCTTTAAGAGAATATCCCTGACACTCTACACACAAGATGTCGACATGTTGATGATACGCATATCGCAGTCCCGTTTCATTTCGACTAATTTTGACAGAGTTACTGCCCCTGTTTTACGGAGCTTTATTTGCCTATTTGTGAGAGAGGCTACTAAGCTTGTGAAATCAACTCCTCCTCCAGCTTTAAGAGAATATCCCTGACACTCTCCACACAAGATGTCGACATGTTGATGATACGCATATCACAGTCCCGTTTCATTTCATTTGCCTAATTGTGAGAGAGGTACTAAGCTTGTGAAATCAACTCCTCCTACAGTTTGCAGAGAATATCCCTGACACTCTCCACACAATTTAAGATGTCGACATGTTGATGATACGCATATCGCAGTCCCGTTTCATTTCGACTAATTTTGACAGAGTTACTGCCCCTGTTTTACGGAGCTTCATTTGCCTAATTGTGAGAGAGGCTACTAAGCTTGTGAAATCAACTCCTCCTCCAGCTTTAAGAGAATATCCCTGACACTCTACACACAAGATGTCGACATGTTGATGATACGCATATCGCAGTCCCGTTTCATTTCGACTAATTTTGACAGAGTTACTGCCCCTGTTTTACGGAGCTTTATTTGCCTATTTGTGAGAGAGGGTACTAAGTTTGTGAAATCAACTTCTCCTACAGTTTCCAGAGAATATCCCTGACACTCTACACACAAGATGTCGACATGTTGATGATACGCATATCGCAGTCCCGTTTCATTTCGACTAATTTTGACAGAGTTACTGCCCCTGTTTTACGGAGCTTCATTTGCCTAATTGTGAGAGAGGCTACTAAGCTTGTGAAATCAACTCCTCCTCCAGCTTTAAGAGAATATCCCTGACACTCTACACACAATTTAAGATGTCGACATGTTGATGATACGAATATCGCAGTCCCGTTTCATTTCGACTAATTTTGACAGAGTTACTGCCCCTGTTTTACGGAGCTTCATTTGCCTAATTGTGAGAGAGGCTACTAAGCTTGTGAAATCAACTCCTCCTCCAGCTTTTAGAGAATATCCCTGACACTCTACACACAAGATGTCGACATGTTGATGATATGCATATCGCAGTCCCGTTTTATTTCATTTGTCTAATTGTGAGAGAGGGTACTAAGCTTGTGAAATCAACTTCTCCTACAGTTTCCAGAGAATATCCCTGACACTCTCCACACAAGATGTCGACATGTTGATGATAGGCATATCGCAGTCCCGTTTCATTTCGACTAATTTTGACAGAGTTACTGCCCCTGTTTTACGGAGCTTCATTTGCCTAATTGTGAGAGAGGGTACTAAGCTTGTGAAATCAACTCCTCCTCCAGCTTTAAGAGAATATCCCTGACACTCTACACACAAGATGTCGACATGTTGATGATAAGCATATCGCAGTCCCGTTTCATTTCGACTAATTTTGACAGAGTTACTGCCCCTTTTTTATGGAGCTTCATGAAATCTACTCCTCCTACAGTTTCCAGAGTATATCACAATATCTAACTATAACTATAACTATAGTTAGTTTCCTTGTTTAAAGCTTTTGTGGGTGAGATACATCCTTATGACATTAGCATTCAGACTGGATTACTCCCAACAAAATGTTCTGCACAATTTGTTTCAAATGCAGTGACATCTACTGTTGTTATTTCATAAAATACAAAGAAAATATAAACTCGTTAAAAAAATTCATGCGGGGGATGTTGTGCTCTCAGAGCACTCTTGTCAACAAATGAGATGGTGTATAATTTCAAGAGCCTTCAAATTAACTCAATCTTCACAATTATTAAGTCAAACATTTTATTTTTGTACACGGACAGGAGAGAAGCCCTGAATGTCTTTTATGTCTTTAGATTGTGCTATCGCGGAACGCTGGTTTCAAAAGTACGGTAACGGTCTTGTGTGGATCACACAATAAGTTGGTGATACTATTTTAATAACTTCGTACAAAGATTAAGATATTGTAATCAACAAAAACGCGATTCAATATTTTGTGAATCAAGTAAAGTATGTCTTTATCAGGAATATTAATCACTTCTAGCAGTTGAGTATTTTTTATGCACATTCAGGGTTCGTGAATACAGGCGACTTTCATGTTCATTGAGAATTGGGCTATTCTTATTTGGGGAATTCTTGTAATTGACTGTAAATTGTGTATTCTAGGAATAATTGAAGATAAGTACCACTTTATATTGGTTTGCCCATATCTCACTGCCTTAAGATGAAAATATAGACTTTAATGTCATTGGAATAACCCCAAAGCGATTAAATTGGATATGGTAATAAGAAGACGATTCTAATTTTCTGCACAAAGTTTGTG